CACTGCCTGGGGCCGTGTGGCCGAGGAGGGGCACGGGCGCTTTCTGTGGGTGATGCCCTGCAATGGTGTCAGTGCTCCACCGGCCCCAGGAGCCTGCCCTAATGACCACGGCTCCCCACAGGACACCTCTTTGAGGCCTCTCTGGGATTAACCCTTTTAATTGGATCAGCAGCCAGAGCTCAGGAGCCAACGGCTCGCGGTCGGTGGCATCGCCTCCCTCGCCCCGCTCCTCCTCCTGTGTCCCTTTGCCTCCGCAGGGATCCCCCCCTTCCCACCCCAAGCAGGGGAGATGGGGTTGATGTGGGGGCAGAGCTGGCTCAGGGCTCTGGGACCTTAAATCTCTTGTGATGCTGAGTGTGCAGGGATGGGCGTCCTATGGGGGGTTTCAGAGGGTCCTGGAATGGTTTGGGATGAAGGGACCTTAAAGCTCCTCCATTCCCAACCCCTGCCATGGACCCCTTCCACTGGAGCAGCTTGCTCCAAGCCCCTGTGTCCAACCTGGCCTTGAGCACTGCCAGGGATGGGGCAGCCACAGCTTCTCTGGGCACCCTGGGCCAGCGCCTCAGCACCCTCACAGGGAAGAGCTTCTGCCTGAGAGCTCAGCTCAGTCTCCCCTCGGGCAGGTTCAAGCCATTCCCCTTGGCCTGGCCCTACAGGCCCTTGTCCAAAGCCCCTCTCCAGCTTTCCTGCAGCCCCTTCAGGCACTGGAGCTGCTCTCAGGTCTCCCCTTCAGGAGCCTTCTCTTCTCCAGGCTGCCCCAGCCCAGCTCTCTCAGCCTGGCTCTGTCCAGATCCTGACACCAGCCCTGCAAGAAGAGCTCAGGGGGCATTGATGGGCTTTGCACCCTGCATTCACCCACCCAGCTTCTACCAGCATCTGCCTTGGGTGCCATGGTTTGGTGTGAGGTGTCCCTGCCCATGGCAGGGGGTTGGAACTGGATGATCTTAAGGTCCTTTCCAACCCAAACCTCTCTGTGATTCTACCAGCGTTTGCACATGGGTTAAACAGAGCCAGTTTTGAGCTCCACTGCTCCAGCGACCGTGCTGTGGGCTCCCTGGGGGCACTGCAGGTGTATCCATGCAATGGGAACGGATTTGTCTCCATGGGGCAACAGCAACACACTGGGGTGTTTAATGCAGCATCCCTGCCTTGGGGCAGGCATCACCTCAGTGCAGTCCCTTCTCTCCCCTCAGGGAGAAGCTGTGATTGAACTGCTCGCTGCGACTGCTTCTGCAGGGCCCCATCTTCTGCCACTTCTTCTGCAGGACCTGGATCTCCTGGTGCTCTCCTATGGGAGCTGAATGTCCCTCCAGCTTGCGTGCAAGTGCATCGGGTATGCCATGGCTGCTGCAACCTGCACCGAGCCACCTTTGGTCTCTGCGCAGAGCATCTGGGCACTGTTTGGGTCCCCAGTACTGGGCAGGCAGTGATTGCTGGACCCAGGTTAGATGAAGATGCACCAAACCAGGACAGTTTTCCCCTTCAGGCTGATCAAACACCGGAACAGGGACCAAGGGAAGGACCTTGGAGAAACTCAGCCCTTGCCTGGACCCACACCTGAACAACCCGATGTAAGTCCAAGTTATCCCTGCTTGGAGCTGGAGGTTGGACCAGGCACCTCCTGGGGTCCTTCCAACCTGAATTACCCCGTGGCTGTGTGCTCCAGGACGGATGGCAAGTCACCACCAGGAATCTTGGCTCTCCCTCCGGGATCTTAGGGCTTTTTTTACGTCAGAGCCATGCTATTTCATGCTCTATTATCAGGTTAGTCAAAACACTTCTCTACACTATATGTCTCTATAATTGCCAGCCACACTCAAACTTCCTTGGCTCCTGCTGTTTTCCATTGCATCGCATTTGCAGTCATGCAAAATATCTCCTTTCACCTTAATCTGCATGAGCCCCCCTTCCCTGCAGGCTCAGGAGGGAAGGGGAAGCCAACACCTCTTGGTTACGATCACTGGAGCCTTGTTCCCCACTGGGCAAGAGGGAAGAGCCGGTGTCGGTGACCTGCGCAGCTCAGTTTGAGGTGCCCATGCATCATTAGGGTAATTAGGAGGGAAATTAAGCAGGTTTGGTGCTGCCCTCAAAGTGCTGCATGAAACCCACAGCCCTGGAGGTGCTTCGAAGGTTTGGCTCCTCCGTGAAGCATCTCCCAATGGACCGGGATGGATGCTCCTGTATCACCTTCCCGCAGCCAAAGAAGGGGATTTCTCCGCAAAGGGATGGGATTTCCCTTAACAATGGCTCTTGCAGCACCCCAGAGCCCCTCACGCTGTGCCTGCATCCGCTTTCCTCTGCACATCCCTTTCTTTTCCAGCGAGGAGCAATGGGGAAAGCAGAGGATCGCGGCGCTGCTTGGCGCTGCGGCTGTTCCCGTGCCACCACGGACCTGTCTCCTCTCCAGACTAAACACTCCTGATATTTCCTGTCTCTTCTCACATAGCAACATGTCTGTAATGGCTCTTTTCTCCTGGTCCTGCACCTCTTTGGATGCCGGAGAGGCTCAGGATGTACCTAATCCGGCGGCTTTAACGCGAGCTGCTGGGGAAATGAGATCGCCTTTCGCTGCCTCCAGCTATGTCAAAGCCCTGACACCCCCCAAAATGGGAAAGAAGAGCAATGCCTCTATAGAAAACAGCTTTTCCAGCAAGCCAGGCCAATCTGGACACTGGAAAAAGCCTCTGGTGATGAGAAAACCAGGGAAATCCTTGGAGACGGGGCTGGAGCTGAGGAGGGATGGGAGGTGGAGGAAACGTGACTGGCACAGCACAACCATGGCCCCAAGGTCTCTTTCCTCCTCCAAACGGGGGGGTCCAAAGGGGAGGTTGGACACACCGATGGAACAAGGTGGAGCATCCCGTGGTCCTCCTGCCCCATGGGATGCGGGAGCGCTGCCTGTGCCGCCCTCGGTGGTGCACTGGGGTGGTTTCCTTGCTCTCCTATTGCTTGCAGGCAGCTCCTGGTGGAGATCCCTGTTTGTAGAGGCTGGATCAACCCAAAGGAAACTGCTTGCGAGTGCTTCTCAGCAGCACTGCCAAAGGACCATGATTCAGTGCTTTCCTCTTTGGGTCGAAATGAATTAGTTCAGGCCCATCAGGATTCTCGAACTCCAGGAGCACAACAATAAACCAGTGTTTAAAGGTTCTTCATGGCCATTTAGCACCATCTGGGGAGTCTGACCAGGGGCTTTGAAAACAGTTGGAGATGAAGTAAGAAGGATCGCTTGGCCTGGACACCCCCTTCTGCCTCCCAGCTGCACCGACAAGGGAACTGATCCTCATGGACCCATTAGACACAGGGAAAGGGGCTGTGAAGCTAACGTGCACCTCAAGGGGCCTCTCTGAGCTGCCTGGTGGGGTCTCCAAATGGGAACGTGGTGGCTTTGGAAGGAGCAGAGCAGAAGAGTTTGACCACGTGTCCAAATAGCAAAGAGCTCTGCCCTGGACGTGCTCCTCTTCCAGCCTTGAGGGCTGAGTTTCATGGAATCAGAGAGGTTTGGGTTGGAAAGGACCTTAAAGCTCATCCAGTTCCAACCCGGTGCCATGGGCAGGGACACCTTCCACTAGAGCATGTCATCCCTCTGCTTTGAATGGGTGAAGCTTGAGCCATCCCTATGGAGAGGTTGGCTATGGAAAGCCTTTGCGGCGCCTCAGGAGGACTTGGCTCACTTTGGGTGTCCTAGAAGATGAATTTGAGGGTTTTCCAGGTTGGGTTTGGGTTTCCCCATGTTGGGAAGGCACCGTTGATTTTCAAGGGCGAGTGGATGCTCACCGTGTCCGGAGCTGCCCCAAGAGGGGCTTGGAGCCTGCTGGACATTCAGAACAGGCTCATGTATGTTCCATCCCTGGGGTGCCCACCTGAGAAGTGAGGCTCCCTACGTTGTGTCAGTCAGGAGATGCCACAGCTGGAAGCCCATCTACACCCTGAATGGCCTCCCTGGGTCCCATGCTCTCTCCAGGAGCTGGCTGGGACCTCCCCGTCCCACCCCACAGCCCCACAGTGTCTCCAATGACCACAGCTTCTGGGAGCTGTGGTCTGACTGTTCTGGCACCCAGAGCCCAAACCACCCGTGCACAGGGGCTTGCAGCAACCTGCTCTAGTGGGAGGGGTTGGAAGTGGAGGAGCTTTAAGGTCCCTTCCACCCAAACCACTCTGGGGTTCTATGCCGAGCCCCTGATGATGAGCAGAGCATCCCCGGGATGCTCTCTGCAGGCCTCGATCCCGCATCCCAGCCCTGAGGATGTTTGCTGGGTGAGTCCAATGGGATCAGACCCCAGCAGGATGGGGGTCCAACCCCACCAGGATGGGGATCACACCCCTCTCGTGACACAGACCCTATGGAGAAAGGAGAGCCAGCACAGGAGGCTGAATCATCAAGACGCTTTAATCAGATTTATCAGACAGCTCTGGATCTCCAAATAAATAGATTTATCAAAACAGAATAAAACCAGAGATAAATACATGTACCAAAACAACCTGAAAATCCCCCAAAGCTGGTTCCAGACAGGGGGAGGGCGATGCTGCTGCACCCCCTCCTCCCCACGCTGCAGAAATGGTCCTGTTCGCCCTTTGGGAGATGCCCCTCCTGTGAATACAGCCCAGTAGATATTATGTAGGATATAGATAGATATATAGCATAATAACATGCTTGGTAGCGACCTTAGTGCAGCGCTCGGGGTCTCAGACCCCATCAGCAGGTGGGTCCTCCCAAAAACTCCATCTTCAAGTGACCTGCAAAGAAGGGAAAAGAATCCTTCCGGCTGGAGCAGAGGAGACCCAAGATTCCTCCAGGAGTACCCTTATGGGGTTGTCTATGCAAGCAAACCCTTTGCAGGTCACAGGGGCTCCAAGGAAAAGGATAGGGATGGTTTTTCTTTCCTTGCAGGTCATCTTCATGTTGGTGGTTGGAAAGAAGCGCGGTCACGGCTGCTGCTAACTCCTGATGCTCTTCAGAACGCCGGGTGTCAGGGATGTATCCCACCTCTCCGTGCCGCCCCAGGTCTCACATCTCCCTTGTGTCTTCCTCCTCTTCCCTCTGCACATCCAACCTCTTTGTCGCAGGAGGTGATGGCCAACCTCTTGTGCTCTCCCGTTGGAGAGAGGCACCTCCACGGCTGGGATCCCATGTGGTTCAGTTTGGCTCCATGGCTGGAGGTTCTGTAGTTTACACTAGTGCATCCTTTACTGCTGTGCCAGTCTATTGAGTAATGAGGCTTTGTACTTCCTATATAGGTGTATGTGTGTATGGGGTGTGTACATAAATCGATAGCTAGGGCAGAGTTTGCTCTCGTTACAAGCTCTTTGTGTCTTTCTCTGGGCTCTCTGTCATCCGCAGCTCTGATGTCTGGGCTCGGAAGATGTTCCAGTGACCTGGATGAAGGGAGAGGGACGCTGATGAGCAGCAACCCTTGGAGCAGGCAAACCCGATTCACCCCATGCACAGCACCTCCCGCGATGGAGGACCTCCAAGAACCACGTGGGGAGAGGTCTACCCACAACGGTGGCCATGGCCAGAGCAACTCATCAGTGCTCCTGTAATCCTAGAATCGCCATTAAAATGGTACTTGGGGTCAAGAGGGGCCCTGTGTACCTCCTGAAATGTGATTAACAGCACAATCAGTGGCATTCCCAATGCTTTCCTTGGAAGCCGCTTGGCTCTTTGTGCAGGGCTTTGCAACCACCTATGGTAGGGCAAGATCTTAGAGTCATGGAGCTGGGTTGGGATGAAGGGACCTTGAAGCTCATCCATTCCCAACCCCTGCCACAGGCAGGGACCCCTTCCATAGAGCAGCTTGCTCCAAGCCCCTGTGTCCAACCTGGCCTTGAACACTGCCAGGGATGGGGCAGCCACAGCTTCTCTGGGCACCCTGTGCCAGCGCCTCAGCACCCTCACAGGGAAGAGCTTCTGCCTTATCTCCAACCCGAACTTCTGCTGTTAGAGAAGAAACCCCCTTAGGTCCCTCCACAGCCTCACTGCTGTGCAATGCAAAGCAAATGCATTGGTGCGAGCTGGGAAACACCCCAAAACCCAACACAAAGCATCCCAACCCCTCTCCTTGCTCCCTCCGAAACAGCAGCATCCCCGCGTGCGCAGGAGGGAGCTGGAGATGCTTCCCCCCCTTGGTTGGTGCTTCCCTCGTAATCCCAGCAGCCCTGGGGCCTCATTCCCAAAGTGGGGAATATTTCCTGGCTGAATTAATGTCCTGCTGTGAGGAACTCTCCGGGCAGCGCTTTCCTAGGACGTGCGGCAGCGGCAGAGGGATGGTTTCACAACAGGGCTATTGGTGAGGGGAGAAGAAGGGGACACGTGGCAGAGATCCCAGCGAGGGTCCAAAGCCTGACCTGGAAGCAGGGACTTGAAAATCCCCCATTGCTTGGCCAAGAGATGCTGCCTGGAATGGACGGGAGGCGGAAACAAAGCTCCCTCCTTCCCCAGTGCTGGAACGCACTGGGGCAGCAGCACCATTCCCAGCCGACCCCGTGCCCTGTGGGTGCTGGACAAGATGGGAACGGGGCCGATCCGGACCTAACCCATTGCAGCTGATCCCAGCCCAGGCAGCAGGAAAGCACCCGGCCCTTTGGCCCCGCGCAGGCACGCTCGGCATGCGCACCGGCATTCCTGCTCCCGGGAACGTCTCCCCCATCCAAGAACATTACGGATGAGTTCTCAGACTACCTCAAGGGTTTATTTCTCTCAAATCCCTTGCTTAATTCCCTCTTTTTTTTCCCCCCACTCTGCCCGTGATGCCAGATGGATTAAATGGGATAAAATCCAACAGGTTTACGCGCTCCGGAGGCACAAAGCCTTTGGGTTTCACAAGCCTGCATCCACTTTTAGAAAGCTGGCTGCCCTTTCCAGCAGCATCAAGGGGAAATGTGACTGCTGAGCAGGAGCGTTGCAGATGAGGGGCAGCTCCAACCCCGTTGTGTCTGGACAAGTCTTCTCCCTATGGATCAGCTCCCCACGCCGCGCCACCGGGATACACGAAGCCTTTTGTGGAAGGGGCAGTGAAACACGGGGTTGTTTGGGGCTGGACGAGTGGGGAGATGGGATTTTTGCCTCCCTACCTTCGTTCGTCCTGGTGATGAGTCTGAAGTTGTGTGCTTCCTGCTTGAATTCCTGTTTGCTGATCTTCTTGGTCTGGATCAGATGAAAGATTCCTGCAGAGGGAACCACAGGGAATCACATTTGAAGGCTCAGACAGGTTTGGATGTCTGCTCCTCCGTCCCCTCCCGGGGTGTAAAAGGGATGCTGCCTTCATCATCCTGCTTTGGTGCAGGACCTGCTGCCACCGAGCCTGGTAGGGGTTTAGGAGTGAATCAAGGGCTGGCCAAAGAGCAGGAGAGATCCCATTTGACAACTGCTCATTACACCAGAACACAGCAGGGGCAACGCCATGGGCAGGTGGGAGCAGTAAGGTTTTGTCGCTCCAAAAAGCATCTCACATTGGAGGAGGTTTGATCTGCCCCCAAACCCATAAGAGAAATAAAGATTAAACCAATGGGGTCCTGGGATCCCTGTCCATCCTTCTCCACTGCATAATCCCCTCCATCCCTGGATGCTTTCCTTTCCTGGATGCCCTCAGGGACCAGCGTTTTCCATCTCTCTGCCCCCCAGCCCTGGAACTCCTCCAGGACAGGAAAACCCCATAAATGCCCTCAGCAGAGGTTGCTCTTCCTGCCTGTGCCAGCAGCATCCCATTAGCGGAGGTGCCTGACTCACGTGTTTGACCCAGGAGAACCAGAACCTGTGCTGAGCAATGGGAGTTGCTCAGAACCTTTCTGCAGGATTAGGGCTCGTGAGGCTCAGCGTTGCCTGGGAAGCGTGACAAAGCAGGCAGGTATTCCTGGCACATCCCTCCAGGCTCCACTGCTGATGCGAGAGGCAATGTGCCCCCCCCCCCTTATTTGGTTAAGAGACTTGCCCTGATTCCCAGCAGGAATTACACAATAGGGAATATATAAGGAAAAGCAATCCATATAAATGGGATGTTAGGGACTAAGGGGGAATGAATACAGGAAGTCAAAGCCATAAGGAGAAATAACGTGGCTCTTTGAGCTATGAGTAAGCCCTAGAAGTGGGTCAGGAGGAGAAGTGCTACCAGGAAGAGGAGAAGATGCTGGGTGGGGATAATAAAAGCATTGATGACGCGAGGAAGGCCCCAAGGGCTCAATAAATCCTCCTTAGCAAGGAGCAGGAGGGGGTGCGAGCGGTCCCCGTGGCTGGTGGGGCCCTTTCCAGCACGTTAGCAACCCAGGGGGTGTTTTAAACGAGAGCTCCAAGGGACAAACATCTTCTCATCACCCCACCTCGATCACAGTCACCCAAGGGCCCTCCGAGAGCTGGTGGAGACCTTTGGTTGTCTCTGAGAGATGCCAGGAGCTGGGAGCAGTGGAGGAACGAATGCAGCTGATGCTCCAGCACGCACTGGGAGGTGCAGATAAGGATAGCCCACGGTGCCTGCAAGCACCAAAGAGGCTTGATGGGATGGAGATGGGAATGGGGGATGCCCCTGTGGTGATAGGACAAGGGGGGGTGGTTTGAAACTGAAAAGGGGAAGATTCAGACTAGGTACCACAAAGAAATGGTTTCCAATGACAAGGTGATGTCCATGTGTGCGGAGTGAACATGAGGGCAAGGGGATGGCCATGAGTCCAAAGGAGGCCATGGAGCTGCTGCGAGGGCTGGAGCAGCTCTGCTCTGGAGCCAGGCTGAGAGAGCTGGGCTGGGGCAGCCTGGAGAAGAGAAGGCTCCTGAAGGGGAGACCTGAGAGCAGCTCCAGTGCCTGAAGGGGCTGCAGGAAAGCTGGAGAGGGGCTTGGGACAAGGGCCTGTAGGGCCAGGCCAAGGGGAATGGCTTTAACCTGCCCGAGGGGAGACTGAGCTGAGCTCTTAGGCAGAAGCTCTTCCCTGGGAGGGTGCTGAGGCGCTGGCACAGGGTGCCCAGAGAAGCTGTGGCTGCCCCATCCCTGGCAGTGCTCAAGGCCAGGTTGGACACAGGGGCTTGGAGCAAGCTGCTCCAGTGGAAGGGGTCCCTGCCCGTGGCAGGGGTTGGAGCTGGAGGAGCTTTAAGGTCCTTCCAACATAAACCAGGCTGGGATTCTGTGATGACTTTAAACATGGTACTTACTTAACGCTGGGCTGGGGAATGAAGCAAGTCTAACCCAAGACACTGCTCTTAGGACTTGCTAAATCATCTGCAAGATGAAGCCGTGGCGGGTGCTGGAGACAGGACCATGGGTGCACATGGCTGTATGAGACTCATCTCAGCAGGAGCCAGGCTTGGGCCAGAGCCGATGTCCTGTTTTGGGCTCTGCCCTTCAAGACAGACACAGAGGAGTCCAGAGCAGAGCTACAGAGAGGAGCAAAGGACCCGAAATGTCTAACGTCAAGGAAAGAGTGGGAATAAATTCAGCTTAAACTGAATTTAAACCACGTAAAACTTCAACCTTAAACCATGGATGAAGAGGACAGAGGTGGGAGCTGATGGCATCCTCAGAGGAAAGGAGCCTACTCTTCACAGCCACAATGGTGAGGGTGAGAAGGCAGGAGCTCGAGCTGGAAGAAGGATGAACATTGTGAAAAGTCTTCCGTTAGTAAAGGGTTTGTGGCTCTGGAAGGGATCGGATGGGCTGTAGAGTCTTTATGGCAGGAGATCCTTACAAGGATGAGCAGGGGCTGGAGCAGCTCCTGTATGGAGCCAGGCTGAGAACATTGGGGCTGTTGAGCCTGGAGAAGAGAAGCTGCGTGGAGACCTCAGAGCAGCTTCCAGTGTGTGAAGGGGGCTACAAGGATGCTGGAGAGGGACTCTTCATCAGGGACTGCAGTGATAGGACAAGGGGTGATGGGTTCAGACTGAAACAGGGGAAGTTCAGGCTGGAGATAAGGCAGAAGCTCTTCCCTGTGAGGGTGCTGAGGCACTGGAATGGGTTGCCCAGGGAGGTTGTGAATGCTCCATCCCTGGCAGTGTTCAAGGCCAGGTTGGACAGAGCCTTGGGTGCCATGGTTTAGTGTGGGGTGTCCCTGCCCATGGCAGGGGAGTTGGAACTGGATGATCTTAAGGTGCTTTCCAACCCAAACCATTCTATGGTTCTATGATTCTATCATCAAGCAAATGATGGAGGAGCATGCGGCTGGCAGGTCTGTGCTATGGGGATGTACCAGTGTGGTGAAACACTGGGCCTTGCTGAAGGTCCCCGAGGTGCAGGTTTTCAGGATAGAAAGGAATGGTTTGGTGATGTCTAATCAGCAGCCTGGCAGGGGAAATGTGGGAAAGAGATCCATAGGGATGCTGCACCTGCAGTGCAATCCAGGCCTCCAGCGGGGCAGGAGTCAACAACAGAGACTCCAAACCATGCTGGTCCCTCTCTGATCCTCCCTGCTCCTTTGTTGTCTTCTCTCCCCATGAGAATTCCTCCGTTAAACCATCAGAAAGTCTCTTTCCAAAGTCACTGAGGTGTCCAGACCCCTAGGACCATGGGGAACCCCCATTGCAGCTCATTGGGGCTGGTCATGCTCCATCACCAAACCGGGTATGGTTTCATCCTGGTGCTAGCACCGGTTTCTCCTCTCAACTCCAGCCCCGAAGAGGAAACAGAGGAACAGAAGAGGCCACGTAGGTCCCATAAGCCCATACAAAGGCAGAGGGACAGGCTCCAGGCGTGACTTGCGGGCTCCTTTCTCCACACACGCTGCTCTGTTGGTCGAGTGATGGACCATGGCGAGGTGGAATCCATATGTGCCTGAGCTCATGCTCTTTCCCAATAGTAACACTTTGCTCTGCCAAGCAAAAGAGCTGTGTTGGCCTCGGGGACAAGGGCCTCCCCTGTCCTCCTTGGCTGGCAGGGCTCAGGAGCTCCGTGCAGACACGAAGCTCTTGGCCTCGGAAGGTGGCGAGAAGGTTTTGGGTGGCAACCTCTGCCAAGGAGCGAGGGGAGGAAGCGGTGGGGCCCAGACAGTGCAGGCTCACAGTGTCCTCCAGCCACAAGGTGCCATTGTGCGGGGGTAAAGGGGGGAGGATGGGGAGAGGGGCACTGGGGAGGATGGAGGATGGCAGGGGGAGCGTGGAGACGGGGTGGCAGCCAGGGCTCCATCTCTGACTCCTCTCCATGTGTTCTCCCCATTGGCAGCTTGAAGAGGCAGCCAGCGGAGGGCTCCTAAGGGAGGGATGGAAGGAACATGCCCAAGAGACCACTGTTTGCCTACCCACATCCAGAAGACGTGGATCAAGGTTCACTGTATCCATAAGTAGGGTCTGGCCAACCTCAAGGGCTCAAGGCACAGCTTTTTGCAAGGGGTAGGGTATGTCCAATGGAGACTTGGGCTTGGAGCACTGCAATGCATTCCCATGCCCAATAGAAACACATCACAGGTATCTACCAAGTGGCCCTAGCAGAGGTAGGCTCCTCTGCTGGTAAGAGTGTTGTAAAGCTAAAGGTGTGAGGAGAGAGCAAGAGATTGGTGTCACTGACGGTGTATTTGCTGTCTGGAGGACACCCCAACAGCAGCATCCAAATCCACCCATCCAAAAAGTGAGCTGGGGCCAATTCAGCCCCTCCGTGGGCACCTCTGCAGCATCTCTGCGAGCTTTGCTCCAGCAACGAACAAGAAACGAGTGACCAGAACATCGTTTTGTTTTGCTTTCCATGTGCATTTGGCATGAAAGCCAGGGCAGGTTTGGAGGAGAACCCATGGCCCCTGTTTGCCCATGTGCTGTACCTCCGGATGGTGTTACAGCTCACGATGGCACACAGTGGGGCCAGGAGTGGTTTCCAGCCCCTGATCTCCATGCAACTGATGGCAAAAGAGTGCAGAAGGATGGAGCTGGAGGAGCCAGCCTGCTGTCAGCAGCTTTGCACTCACCACATGAGGTCTGGAGCACCACTAGGAACGCCTGAGAACACGAACAAAGCTTGGAAAGCAGCACGTTTCCACACACCTCCTCCATTGCTGGCTGCTGGCGGGACATGACCCACCTTTAATGAGCTTCCAGTTGTAGATTTCCACCTCTTCTGCAGGCTCCTTCTCCACTGCCATCGTCCTGAGGATCTCCTTGGAGGAACCGGAGCTCGGTGGCACAAACATGTACACCAGGACGCGGTTGGGGTTCTTGGCGCAGCGCGTGGTGGCTGCTTCAGCAGTGGGTTTGACCTTGGTTTCTGGGCAAGAACAAGGACAGAGCTCATTGAACGGGGCAGGAAGGAGCTTGGAGGAGGCAGCTCAGCACCCAGGGCAAGGCAAAGGCATCCCGTTGGGTTTGATGCTGCGTGGGACACTGTGTCTCCGAATGGACCTTGGCTCCAGGGCTCTCATCCCCAACACTGCGATCTGCAGCAAAGGGAGATGTTGATAAAGGGTCTGTGGATCTGCTTAGCCCCAGGTTTTCCATTCCCTTTGATTTTGGCTTCCTCTTTGCCAGCAGGGATGGAGGAGGGGGATTTTCTCCACCTGGATGCCCCATACCCACTGCAGGGACCTTGGTGTGGTGCCATCACCACTGCAAAGCCCCTGCATCTCATTGGCCTCCCTATTGGCATCAAGAGAAAGGCATCTCACTGGGTTTGATGCCATGTGGGATAACCACATCCCCGAATGGACCTTGGCTCCCAACACCACAATCTACAGCAAAGGGAGATGTTGCTAAAGGATCTCTGAATCTGCTCATCCCCATTCCCCATGATTTCGGTATCCTTTGTGCCAGCAGGGATGGGGAAGGGGGATTTTCCCCACCTGCATCCCCCATATACCCACTGCAAGGACCTTGGGGCGTCACCATCACCACTGCAAAGCCCAGGCTGAATTCCCTGCTTCCCATCTCTCTCCTGTTGCCATCCCGCAGGATCAATGCCAGCAACACGCAGGGATGAGCCCGCAACACGGGAGCCAGCACCGGGCCTGGGCATCGCGCCCGGCTCAGCCCCAGCCCAAAGCCTCGCCCCACATGGGGTACAACAGTGGGGAGACCCTCAGCGGGGGCACCGGCAGGCCCCTACGTGACTTCCAGCGTCCTTGCTAACGCAGAGCTGCTGATTGTTTCATGCTTTTAATGGATCTGGAGTAATTAAGAATCCCCCGTGGGTTTGGAAGGAGATTTATTGCCTTTGGTTGTGGTCTTTGGAACGCAGAGAAGCTCAGCTCTGCTGAATTTAGCCTTGTTCTCCCCGTCCTTTTGGATGCTGGAGCTGTTTTACACTACTCGAAAGAAAGTTTGGCTATGAATAGATGCCTGGGGTTTATTTTAGTAGGACAGTTATTCTAGGCCTCATTCTGTGCTTGCTGGCATGGTCCTGAGCTGCTCTGCTCAGAGAGGGGATGGAAATCCCGCTTTAAAGGGATGCAAAGCAGGGCTTTGTCAAATGGCAGGACAAGCATTCAGCTCTGCAGGCTCAGTGTGATGTGATGGGGGACAGCTGCAACCCACCACCCTCATCCCTGCCACCGCGGGGTCCGGATGCAGGGAAACCTCCATCCCGGACCAGTGAACTTCACTCACTCCCTGGCTGCTCTTTGCACCCATTGAGGAATCCCCGCCTTTACGACAGAGAAGGAACTACACATCCTTGCAGGTACAACAGGTATTTAACAACCTTGGAGCTTCACTCTTATGGCCAGGAGTGCAGCGGAGGAGAAGCAGGGACACAGCGGTCCCAGCCACTACTCCTGCTCCCAGCAACCACAATGGTCTCCCCATCCAACCCATGCATCACAGCACCGGGTTCCCCTGCAGTCAGGATCCCTTTGTTAACAGGAATCACTCCGTTTGTCCCCAAGCTGCTGGGAACAAAGGAGGAAGAGGAGCAAAGTCCTGGGAGCTGCCTGGAAAAGGAAGATGGGTGAAACCTCCATGCAGCAAAGCAAAGGACGAGCCTGAGACTCGGCTGAGCCACGTGTGTGTGTGTGAGATTGCAATCTGGGAGTACTGGAAAGCAAGGAGAAAGCCGTTTTGGCTGGGTCAGAGTGTTTAACTGGAAATAAATGAAGACCGAGCAGACGAGAGATCCCAGCAGAGAAAGTTGTAGACTTGAAAGCAGAAAGAGCCACTATAATGGGAATGCGAGACTGGAAGGGCTCTGCTCAGTCATCACATCCCGTTCCCACCAGGCACCACGTCATAAATCCTGCTCATAAACACATCAGGAACCTTATTAAAACAAGCTGAGCTTCTGCCCTTCGCTCGCTCAGAGCATCCCTGCTCAGAGGCTGGAAACTCCCACTTCTCATCCCGCACTGTGAAGTGTGCCGATGCCCTTTGCTGGCTCAGAGCATCCCTGCTCAGAGGCTGGAATCTCCCACTTCTCATCCCGCACTGTGAAGTGTGCCGATGCCCTTTGCTGGCTCAGAGCATCCCTGCTCAGAGGCTGGAATCTCCCACTTCTCATCCCGCACTGTGAAGTGTGCCGATGCCCTTTGCTGGCTCTCCCTGCTGAGACCCCTCCAGGAAACCACCTTGAGGATGCACATCAGAGATCAGTCAGGAAGCGCTGCATCCGCAGGGATGCTCAGAGGTGCTCAGGTACCTCCAGTGTCTCCAGGGAAGCACTGGGTGGTCCCTCAGCTAAACATCTACTGCTGAATGACAGGGATGCTCTGCAGTGGGAACAGACCTGCTCTGCCCCATCTTTGCCAGGTGTGTGGTTCAAGGTGAACAGCTTTCCAACGACCAAGAAGCAGCCAAGAGACCCAAACCCCATTGAATATGAGAAATAAAGAGGTCCTCTCCACCGTGTCCCAGCCCCAGCATCAGCCCAGTTCTACCTGGAGCACCCCAACCGTTGTGTGCCAAACCTTCCCCTTCCAGGACTGGGGAATTCAACTCCAGTTCAATCAAGCCACGAGTGCCACAGGTAACACCACAGCTGGGAAGCATCCTCCTAACTTCAAACCTACGTTTCAGCTGCCACAATTTAACCCTATGACTTCTTGTCCCAGTTGAAGCTCTGGAGAACAGACCTTCTCCCCAGAAAACATCTCCTCTCTATCTGAAGACTCTTGTCACGTCCCTCCTTGAGCATCTTTCTCCAGGCTACAGCCACCCAACAGATACAACCTTATGGGATAGATGCGCCTTCCTCACCTTGGGCCAGTCCTGCTGCCCTTCAAGGCAGACCAACCCTTACACTGGTGCTTGCCCTGCTGAGCTGATGTCGATTCAAGTGACCAGTGATGTGAACGCATCTGCCTGGGGCTTCAAACCAAGGCTAAAGGAAGGACCTGGAAGGTACCTGCAGGAGAAGGTGGGATCTCACCTACCTGGACATATTTTACAGCATTTCCCATCTACTTTCTCTGGATGCTCACACGGATACTCCTTGGGGCAGGTGATCTTCTGGCAGTCCTGGACACCATCCCTGCAAGTGCAAAGGATGCAGGGCAGGAGGCCGTAGAGCCGGAAGACGGGATGCCACACTTCCCCATGGGAATAGGTCTTCCCGTTGTACACACAGGCTGGAGGAGAGAAAGAAAAGAGGGGAAATGAATCCCCCTCCTCTTTGCAAAGCCAATGCTTGGTGGAGCCCAACTCATTTCACACCTCGGAAACGGGTGGCCCTGCTCTCTTGAGGAGCACGGTGCTCTGGCGGCACATCCAGCAGCAGACAAGGGGATACGGCAGCCACCCCGCTAAGGAGGTGCCATGGAAGGCGTAGACGAGACCTCAGTGCCTCAGTGGTGGCCTTGGCAGTGCTGGGAAGGGTTGGACTGGATGAGCTTAAAGGGCTTTTCCAACCCTATTGACTCTACGGGGCCGGGGACCAAGCTGCAGGAGACGGGTGCTGCTGGGGACAACCTCCCCGGTGGGGTGAGCGTGGGCAGGACCTCGGCATCCTCCAGGGCTCTGAAGCCCAGGGTCCCTCGGAGGCAGGCCCAGGCATGAAGCACAGTGAAGAGTGCCACCTGCTGACTCCTCCACGAACACGTTTGGAGGTCCCACAGCTTCCTCCAGGCCTTCATGTCCAAGGTCTGGGAAGAGCCCTTTGGAGACACAGGGGTGGGAGAGCCCCAGCAGGAGGAATGACCTGTCTTCTCCCCTCTGCATCCATAGGGTTACCTCCTCATCGCCTTTATCTCCATGAGGGTTACCTCCTCGTCTCTCTTTCCCTCCTCCAGGAGGAAGACCACAGCGCTGGGATAGACCCAGCACGTGGTAGGTGCAAGGAGCATCATCCTGTCCCTCTGCGGCACTGCCATGGAAGGACCATGTGGAATCTTCCAGTTGAGCATCTCCCTTCCCAGGTCCCAGATCTCCAAAGCACCCCAAGGATCAACCTTCTCCCAACGCCTTTTGGGAAGCAGTAGGTTAGTATCATAGACTCATGGAATGGTTTGGGTTGGAAAGGACCTTAAGATCATCCAGTTCCAACGCCCTGCCATGGGCAGGGACACCTCACACTAACCCATTGCACCCAAGACTCCATCCAACCTGACCTTGAACATGCCATCAAGACTGTATGGGCCACCAGGGCTGAGATAGCTGGGTGAGAATGGCTGTGGAGAAATAGGAAGGACTTGGTGGTGGAAACCTGCTCCTGAGCCAGATTCCTTGGAGCATTCCATGTCCTGGAGAAGCCCCCTTCCTCCACGCACACGCAGCCCACCCCCTCCACCCCTCACCTTTCTTGTGCTTCTCTTTCAAGACGATCTTCACGGTGGTGCCACCTCCTCCCTTGGGTTTGAAGCTCCTGGGCACGAACTCCAGGGAAGAGCTGAGGGCAGCGGCCACAGTGGCTCCGGGAGGCTTCCTGCCCATGGCCTCCCCCAGGCACTGGTCTTGTGAGTGCCTCTGTGACCAGAGAGAGGAAAGAAGGGGACTCAGACCCGGGCAGTTGGGTTGTTCTCACTCCAAAGCCATGCAGTGTCCTACACACCTTCCGTTGGGAAAGGAAGGCCCAGAGACAGGGATGAGCAATGATCCAGGTCGCTGTAACAGTGCCTGTGCCCCACATTGGTGTCCTCCCTATGTTGCATGTGGGTCAGCCTCATTGGGGCAGCAACCCAGTGCCCTCAGAGAAGCAAGTGAGGTCCTACATCACTAACATAGGCTAGGTCTTGCCTAGATGCTTGCTGGGAAGCTGAGGACTGGGATCCATGCTATCCAAACAGGATCAGAGAGGTAAGGATGGGCCGCATCCTGCCCTCCCACCCGGCAGCACCAGGAGGCTTGGTGTGGAGCCAGCAGGACTGGCATCCCAAGGAGCATCCCAGGCTCCCAAGAGCAAGCTGCTGGGACGCGACACGCGGCACAACGGGTTCCCTTGTGCCTGGTTTGGAGGGTTTGGAGGTGATGGAGGTGGGATGCTGGCGTTGCCCCCCGCAGCATGGAAAAGGGCAGGGTCAGGAGCTGTGACTTAATCCCACAGGACTGCCATGGGCTGCCCAGCTCTGAAACGTCACCAGGAATCAACCCCTGGAGCCAAGGAGTCACTTCTTCCTTGCTGGAGCTGCTGCTACAAACAGGCACTGGCTGCTCTGTGACTGGAGACTGGAGACCCCTGAGGGCAGGCTGGAGAGGAGACACCGTCTCCTGATGCAAAAAGCACCCAAAGAGAGCTTTGGGCCATCTGACTGTGGGTAAGGGTCACGTCTGGCTGTGGGTTACCTCTGTCCATGTTCCTCAGCTGCTTTAACCTCAACTTCCCAACAACGGGAAGTGCCCAAGGTTTCCAGTTCCAAGTCTTTTGCCCTTCCAAAGACACTGGAGGTGCTTCAGAGGAACAGGACAAGAGTCTTTCCTTGGTGGTCTGAGGTCTCAGCCTGTGCTGAGAGCCCTCAGAGCCCATTCCCACACAGGATTCATCTGTAAACCAGGGGCTTCTGATTCTACCTAGGGCTCAGGGACAAACGGCTTCCTTTGAGCTGTGCAATGGGGCTGGGCTGAGGTTTAAGAGTCAAACGTCACGTACAACACCTCTGTTTAACTGCAGGGGCTCCTCTTCCGTGGACTTCTCCTGTGAGCCATCTGCAAGGGAAAACAGGGTCCTGTGAGACGCTGCGGGGCCGGGTGAGGATCTGCTCTCCTTGACTGCAAGCAGCTCCCTTCACGGTGCTGTGAGTGCAGGGGAGCTTTAATTCCCATCAGACGGGTGCCATACCCCAAACACGCTTTTCTCCCCGCTGTTAACAACAGCTCAGCTCCAAGAAGGACGTGGCCTTGTGGCTGCTGAAGGGAGGTGGCGTGAAAACACCCCAGAGTTAACGTGTGAGGTGATGGAGATGGAATCAGAGAATCCCAGACTGGCTTGGGCTGGAAGGGACCTTAAACCTGACTCAATGTCAGGGCACAGAGGAGGGAAGCGCAGGGGTGATGCACAGCTTTCCCCTGCTCACAGGAGGAAGCAGGGTCCAGTGGGGCTGGAATTCAAAGCCTTTGGCTTTCAGTACTTATGTAGAGGGTCTCTCCCCTCCTGAAAGCAGAGCTGTCCTTATCAGGAACAGAAACCCTCTCAAGGGTTTAAGCTCCAACTTATTCCTTATCTGGGATACTTAACGTTTATATTAACATATAACCAAGGCCTGCTGCACAGCTTTGGATGTATCCCCAAATGAAGAGAATAAAACCAAACATAAAACCCACCCCACTCCCCCCCAAATACTCAAAATCATCAAACCAAACTGATAACAGCCAAAATCTGCCCCAAAACTTGGACCTCTCTCTGCATCATCTTTAACAGCTTGTAGCTTTGGAGAGCAAATGAAGGAGGTGCTTATGGTGGCAGGAGGGAAGGGAGAAGTGAAAGAAAAACTGTGAATCATGGAATGGTTTGGGGTGGAAGGGACCTTAAAGCCCATCCAGCTCCAACCCCTGCCACGGGCAGGGACCCCTTCCATAGAGCAGCTTGCTCCAAGCCCCTGTGTCCAACCTGGCCTTGAACACTGCCAGGGATGGGGCAGCCACAGCTTCTCTGGGCACCCTGTGCCAGCGCCTCAGCACCCTCACAGGGAAGAGCTTCTGCCTCATCTCCAACCTGAACTTCCCCTGTTTCAGTCTGAACCCATCACCCCTTGTCCTATCACTGCAGTCCCTAATGAAGAGTCCCTCCCCAGCATCCTTGCAGCCCCCTTCACACACTGGGAGCTGCTCTGAGGTCTCTGATTCAAAACAAAAGAAATCCGAAGACATTTCCCACCAAGTCAAGGACAGGTCCCAGCTGCACCAAAACCCAAGCGGGAGGAGCACAAACTGCACAGGAGGAGGGTTTGGAAGGAGCTCATTCTACGTCCGGGGCCAGGAGACCACCACGGCCTTCCAGCTTCGTGGCAAAGAGTCCTTTTGTGCTGTGAGCTCGTTGTCAGCAAGGGGGGAACCTGCTCTTTCCCTCCTGAGTCTGTCTCACCTGGAGACGGGGAGCCTGATGCCCTCCTCACTCCGCAGTGTACGCGAGTAGATGCGGAGGGGAAGCCCTCATCTTTAGTTTTATGATGCAGCCAAGACAGAGGAACAGCTCTGATTTACAGCACAGGCTTCCCAAATCCTGCCACAGTGGCTTCAGGGGGCTCCTGCCAGCCGGTGGAAACCCTCTGGGGTCTCCCCACCCTCACATAAGAGCAGCTCCTGGGCCCTTCATTACCTTTGCAGACCTGGCAGCAGGAATCCGGCACGGTGAGGGGAGAGGAACACAGGAGCTCCGGGCAGGTCACCAAGCCACAGTAGATCTGGCCTTCCTAGGAGAGCAGGAGCAACAAAAGCATCATCAGCATCATGAAGAGATGGACAGGGCTCTATGTCCTGTGTGCGGGGTGTCCGATCGATCCTAAAGCAAAAGCCAGCCAGGAATCCATCCTCAACTACCACCAGTCTATCAGCTGATGAAGGATGAAGATCTGTGCATGCAAGCTCCGTCCTGTGGGGTGGAACATGGTCTGTGGTGTCCTCTCCTGGCATGCTCATGGCCAAGAGCAAGAATGGGGGGGGGGTATTCCCCAAGGAGAAGGAGGCAGCGCCTTCCTCTCAAGCATCATCAGTGCTGCCACATTGAAATGGCCACCACACGCTTGGAAAGGCTGCACAACAGCCACCAGCTCAAAGAGCCTTTCCTCTGGCATCTCCCAGGACAAGGACCTGGAAGAGGCAAGTGGAAAGGGGAAGAGTGATGATGCTGAAGCCAGACCCAGCTCCACAGCTCTGCTCTGCCCTCCCTCTTGGGTTATCCAGTAGCATCAGAGCCAAGCTCACAAAGACACTGGGTCAAGAGCTATGGATGGAGGTGCAGATGTAACCTTCCACTGGCGTGCTGGTTAGCTCAGGAAACATCATTCCTGTAGTGATTCAAGCTGAAGACCACAGGTCAAGGCCGATCTTGACCTTGTTGCATCCCAATCCCTCCTCAGTCAGTGGACTTGCACTTGTTTGCAGCAGGGATGAGGTTTGGCTGCTTTGCAGGAGGGTAAAAAAGGATGTTCAGCAGCACAGCAGCACCCGGACCTCAACAGCAAGGGCCTCTCCTCCATGAACCAGGTGTCCACAAGCTCTCAGCCAACCAAAGCCAAGAGGTTAACCAATGATACCCATAGCAAACCAAGCCACAGCAGCTTCTTCTCCCACCAGGAAGCCAAACCGCTGTGAAAGGGATGTGAAGAGGAGGAAGAAGGTTTGGTCAATGAGAGGATGTGGTGGAGGATGGAGCAACCCAAACCAGGCTTCTGCTTCAGGGCCCTCCATGGGATGCAGACCTGCAGGGAGCAGGGTTTGGCCACGCAGCCTCTTCCTTCCTTCTCCTCCTGAGCAGAGGCTCATGGCAAAGACCTGCTCCCGGCGGCAAAGAGCAAGTGTGATAAAAAGCAGGATTTCTCCCAGCGGATCTGGTCTCTGGGAGGTCTCAGGGAGGTTTAGACCAGCTGTTCCTGCAGCTGTTCCAGCAGCTGAGCGCATCGGACACAGCCCCTGCAACACTCCATCCCTGGATTTTCCTCTTCGTATCCAAGGCATTATCCTGCTGGATAAACAGAGCCTGAGGGAGGGCCAGGGCCTCTGACAAGGACACGGAGCTCCTGGGGACAGCGGTGGATGGGATGGGATGGGATGGGATGGATGTGATGGGATGGGATGGATGCGATGGGATGCGATGGAATGGGATGCGATGGGATGGGATGGGATGGATGGGATGGGATGGATGCGATGGGATGCGATGGGATGGGATGGGATGGATGCGATGCGATGGGATGGGATGGATGCGATGGGATGGGATGGAATGTGATGGGATGGGATGGATGCGATGGGATGGGATGGATGCGATGGGATGGGATGGGATGGGATGGGATGGGATGGGATGGGATGGATGGGATGGGATGGGATGGATGGGATGGGATGGGATGGATGCGATGGGATGGATGCGATGGGATGCGATGGGATGGGATGGGATGCGATGGGATGCGAAAGCAGCTCCAGGCCTGCACACAGAGTTGGATTCAAGTGCTCCCTCCTGGTGTTTGTCCCTAGGTGATGGGCTGGCACCCAGCTGGGGTCCCTATGAGGGGATGCAGCCTCAGAAGCTGTGTGATTCCTACACCTCAGCTATTCCTTTCGCCACCCCGCTCCAAGGTGTGCACAATCACCAAGGGCTCAGACCAGCTTTACATGTACTTCGCTATCAAGCTGATGGCAACCACAGCGTGCGTGCTCTTGGCATGAGAGGAGGAGGCGATTTGGGCTTTCTCACTCTTCTTTCTTTCCTGGCCAAGCTTAGGCCAATTACTTGCTGGAAGCAAAGCGCAGACCCGTGGAGCCTGCTCCCATGCAAAGGCTCTGTATGATGGGTGGTGAAAGCCATGTCTGCAGCCCTCTGTTACGGCAGAGGCTTGCAGCCAGCATGAGCAGTTCCTCCCAGCATCCCAGCCCAGCATCGGCACCTCCAGTCCCCCTTCCTCGCTCCCTCTCCAGGAGGAGGAGCTGCTCCATTCATCTGCTGACACTCAGCTCCTGGCAGGCAGGGCTCCACGCTCCACACACCTTCCTCAGAGCTGCTGCCAGCTCCCAAGGCAGCCCTGTCAGGACCTGGTGGTGATGGGCTTTCACAGGATCCCAGCCTCTGGAAGAGCTCTGGGCAGAGCGCAGCCAGGTCCGGTCTCACGGCGTTGCTGGAGGCTCATGGAGAAGGAGCATCCCTCCACTGCTGGCAATGGGCACTCCCTGTGTGCTGAGGAGCACTCAGCATCCTGAACCACTATCAGAGCCCTCAGGCAGGGCAAGCAGGACCATCGAGGACGTGCAGAGTCATTGCAGGTGGGTGTAAAAGGCAGATGCTTCCTGTAGATGCTTTGTGTGGGCAGCCTGGAAAGCACATGCATAGCCCTTCTCCAGGGCATGGCTCTGCACATCAATGGCCCAGAGACTGGGGATGAAGATGCTGCAGGGGGGTCCAGGGGAGCTCCTGGTGCTCAAGCTCATCTCAGCTCTGGCTTCAGCCTCCCCTCAAATCCAAGCAAACAAAATGAAGATCAAGGGGTGGTGAGCTCCATCCAGGCAGGGCAGGAGCTGGCTGCTGGTGCCACCATGAGATCCAGGCACCCAGCAGTGGTTTGGTGCCACCATGAGATCCAGGCACCCAGCAGTGGTTTGGTGCCACCATGAGATCCAGGCACCCAGCAGTGGTTTGGAGCCACCAAATCCTTTCTGGAGCTCACTCGATCTCACCAGCTCCACATCCCAGGAGCTTCCGAAGCCCAAGAGCTGGTACCTCCTGTTGCTGTTGCTTGCCAAGCATGCTGAGCTCTCCCAGCTACAAACTCCATCTGTTCTGCAGCTAGAACACACGTGGAAAGGCTCCTGGGTGTCCTCTCTGCTGTCCATCTGCCATAGGATGCCTCAGTGGGACAGGTGGGATAGCTGGATGCTGCATGGAGAGCCCCAGAGCCCTGGTCCTCACAGCAGGCAAAGAACCCCATTGTGCTCAGTGGGGATAGGGCTGTCCCCTGCCCACCCCAAGGACCCCCAGAACTGGCCTGTGGGATCTCCAGTGCATAACCCACTGTTGGAGCAGCTTGTTCATGCTGTTCCCTTTGGGAAGGAGATGCAGGAGAGTGCTTTGTGCTCCAACCTCAGGGCCTAATGGACCCTGCTTGGGATCAAAGAGAGGGAAGCACCCATCTCTGTAGTGGTCCTTAGTCACCGGGCAGGGAGAGCCCAGCTCCCTTTGAGAGGAAGCTCAACCTCCTGCACTGACAGCCCCATCCTGATGACAAACCATCCCACCATGGGTGCCCCCAGTGGTCCTCAATGAGGTCTGTGCCCTGGTGGGACGCTGTTGGGGTGCAGGAGCAGAGCCCGAGCCCCCTCCCCTGCCTCCCCTGGGCTCGCTGGTCGCTTACGGAGCAGCTGCACTGCACACACTGGTTCGGCTGGCGGCTGGGGAAGAGCTCGCTGGTGGTGAACATCTCCCCTTGCTGGTAGCTTGTCCCGTTGTACTGGCAGGACCTGAGGGGTGCCCGCAGGCCAGAAGGGGAATGTGGCTCTGCAAAAGATGAGGAAGCAACAGGATGAGAGCCAGGCACCGGCGTCGCACGGATGCTCAGCGGCTTCCCCACCAACCCAAGCCAAAAGGGTGAGGAGCTGTTGACACCCCAGGAAGAAGTGGCCAGGGCATCGCATGGTCATAAAGCTTCTGGAGAACGGGGCTGCCCTGAGCCTGCTGAGCTCAGCACAGAGGTGAAACCTGGAAGGGTTTGACAGGCTGAGAGCACTGGGGCTGTTGAGCCTGGAGAAGAGAAGCTGCGTGGAGACCTCAGAGCAGCTTCCAGTGTGTGAAGGGGGCTGCAAGGATGCTGGGGAGGGACTCTTCATCAGGGACTGGAGTGATAGGACAAGGGGTGATGGGTTCAGACTGAAACAGGGGGGATTTCGGCTGGAGATAAGGCAGAAGTGCAGGTACAGGCTGCCCGGCGATTGCAGGACCATGGCCACCTTGTCACCCTCTCCCCATGGGATGTCCACCTACCAAGGCACCGCGGGCAGCACTGCTGGGGGTCCGTGACGGAGCTGGCACATTGCAGAGCCGGGCACTGGATCCGGTAGCACCTGATGTTGGCATTCTGGGGAGAGACAGAGTCAGAGAAGGTTCATTCAGCTCCACGTTCACCCCTGCCAGAGGAGGGAGATGTTGGATGGTGGGCACATTATCACAACTGATTGTGCTGGTGTAGCTCACCCAGCCAAGGAGGTCTCCATCCCCAGGTCAACCCAGCCAAGGAGGTCTCCATCCCCAGGTCAACCCAGCCAAGGAGGTCTCCATCCCCAGGTCAACCCAGCCATGGAGGTCTCCATCCCCAGGTCAACCCAGCCATGGAGGTCTCCATCCCCAGGTCAACCCAGCCAAGGAGGTCTCCATCCCCAGGTCAACCCAGCCAAGGAGGTCTCCATCCCCAGGTCAACCCAGCCAAGGAGATCTCCATCCCCAGGTCAACCCAGCCATGGAGGTCTCCATCCCCAGGTCAACCCAGCCATGGAGGTCTCCATCCCCAGGTCAACCCAGCCATGGAGGTCTCCATCCCCAGTTCAACCCAGCCATGGAGGTCTCCATCCCCAGGTCAACCCAGCCATGGAGGTCTCCATCCCCAGGTCAACCCAGCCATGGAGGTCTCCATCCCCAGGTCAACCCAGCCAAGGAAATCTCCATCCCCAGGTAACCCAGCCAAGGAGATCTCCATCCCCAGGTCAACCCAGCCATGGAGGTCTCCATCCTCAGGTCAACCCAGCCATGGAGGTCTCCATCCCCAGGTCAACCCAGCCATGGAGGTCTCCATCCCCAGGTCAACCCAGCCATGGAGGTCTCCATCCTCAGGTCAACTCAGCCAAGGAGATCTCCATCCCCAGGTCAACCCAGCCATGGAGGTCTCCATCCCCAGGTTAACCCCAACCAGCCCATGGTCTCATCATCAAACACCACCCATGGTCCCACTGCAGCCCTGAGCCTGCAGCTCACCAACGCTACTGAGATAGCTCCCTCATAAGGTGACCCCACCACCCTATGGCGACAGGGGGTATTTTCAAAAGGAAAGAGATGAATCCGATGTCCATATGGGACTGGAAAGGGCTTTTCTGGTCAAACTAGACCCGCTTTAAACCTCATCTGCTTTAAAGCTGCCAAGCCAATGGCCATTGCAGCAGCATCCCCCCCACGGCGCGGGGCACCTCGGCGGGACCTGCCTCGGAGCAGCTGCAGCGGATGCAGTACATCAGCCCCTGCGGCTCCAGGTAGGGGTGCCAGCTCTCCCCCGGGCTGTACTTCTTGCCATTGAAGTCACAGAACACGTCCGGCCCTGAAAGACAACCAGAAGCTCTGTGAGAGAATGGGATGGGAAGAGCTGGGGCAGGGTCTGAAGGGGGCTACAAGGATGCTGAGGGGGACTCTTCACCAGGGACCAGAGTGATAATCCCTTACAATGAGGGTGGTAAAACACTGGCACAGGTTGCCCAGAGAGGTGATGGATGCCTCATCCCTGGAGATACGTGAGGCCAGGCTGGATGTGGTTCTGGGCAACCTGATCGAGATGAAGATGTCCCTGCTCATTGCAGGGGGTTGGACTGGATGAGCTTTGGGGTCACTTCCAACCCAAACTATTCTATCATTCTATAACTCTTTGGCAGGATGAAGCCAGCCCACAGCAGGACCTGTGGGACAAAACCATGCCCAAATCATGCCCATACTCCCCACAGGAACCCCAACTCCGCCATCCCTAACGCTCACATCAAAAAGCATCACCGGTCCTGCAGGCCCGAGCTCTGACCCCAACTGAACGTGCAGGAACCCAGACCCCATAACTCCCACCACAGCCCAGCTCCTGCTCTCTTGTGATGTCTCCCCAAGCCCCGAGCAGCCAGGGGGAACATTCCAGGGCTTAAGTTCTTCCATGAATGTGTGTTATTGGTGCTTTCGGTGCCCAAAGCCCCACTAAAAGCTGGAGGTGATTTAAGGGTTATGTCATCAGGGGGATTTGAGGTAGTTTGGGCGATGACGTTGCTCAAGGTAGTGGAGATATTTACGCTCCCTGAAGCATTTATGGGTCTTTTAAAAGCTTGTGGTGCCCTGGGGATGTGGGGAGAGGGGAAAGGGCTGGTTTTGAAGGCATGGGGCCCAGCTCCTGCAGCCCATCGTGTGAATACAGGCAAGCTGGTGGGTGCTGAGCCTGCTGTGCTGCTGGCAGGACTCCTCAGAGGTGCCCAAAACGAGCCCAGTGGCATTCAGCACCCCAATGATGCTAAAACCATGACAGGACCATCAGGGCTGGAAGGGACGTCTGGAGATCAACCCCCTGCCAAGGCAAGGCTTAAATAGGACCGTGTCCATGGTGGGGTTTGAATGTCCCCAGAGATGGAGACCCCCCTGCCAGGGCTCGGGTACCCCTCAACGTAAAGGAGCTGTTCCTCCTGTTGAGGTGAACCTTGTTGTGTTTCAGTTTATGGCCATCCCATGCTCTGCGCTGGCAGCAGGGACAAAGCAGTGATTCAGAGAGCCTGGCCAGTGCTGTCCCTTGCCAAAGCTGGAGGTGCCACCTGCTCAAAGCATTTCTCCAACCACCGAGGCAAAACCCATACCAAAACGCTGCAGTGGGCAGACACATCCCCTTCAGCTCCTGACCATAGGATGCCAAAGTGGTTTGGGTTGGAAGGGACCTTAAAGCTCCTCCAGCTCCAACCCCTGCCACGGGCAGGGACCCCTTCCACTGGAGCAGCTTGCTCCAAGATCATTCTTAGCCCTACAGGCCCTTGTCCCAAGCCCCTCTCCAGCTTTCCTGCAGCCCCTTCAGGCACTGGAGCTGCTCTCAGGTCTCCCCTTCAGGAGCCTTCTCTTCTCCAAGCTGAACCAGCCCAACTCAGGATAGACCCAAGCAATGCTCTACCATGGCCAGACCCTGTGACCACTGGGAAGGGCAGCCTTATGGGTCTATGATGCTCTTTATGGGTCCCTTCCATAGAATTATAGAATCACAGAATCACAGAATGGTTTGGGTTGGAAAGGACCTTAAGATCATCCAGTTCCAACCCCCTGCCATGGGCAGGGACACCTCACACTAAACCATGGCACCCAAGGCTCTGTCCAACCTGGCCTTGAACACTGCCAGGGATGGAGCATTCACAACCTCCCTGGGCAACCCATTCCAGTGCCTCAGCACCCTCACAGGAAAGAACTTCTTCCTCAGATCCAATCTAAACTTCCCCTGTTTCAGTTTGAGCCCATCACCCCTTGTCCTATCACTGCAGTCCCTAATGAAGAGTCCCTCCCCAGCATCCCTATAGACCCCCTTCAGACACTGGAAGGCTGCTATGATTCCAACTCAATCCCTGTGAGCCTGCCAGCAACCCTGAGCTCCTCATTGAGTTGATGGCTTCAAGCACTTGATTCTCCAAGTTATTCCTTCAGAGGAGGTGGCCACCACTGCCCACACCACCTAGCCCAAGCACAGCACTATGGGGCCACGTTGCATCTGCAGCGGTGGAGATTTGAGTTACTTTTGGGGTGGCTGCCACCAGAGGCACAGGCAGAAGCATTTTCCTTCCTTTTGCCTACATAGAAACACAGAATCACTAGGGTTGGAAGTGAGCTCTGGGTATCACCTAGTCCATCCCCTCTGCCAAGGCAGGGCCGTCAGCTCTTTACATTGTCCCCATAGCCTGCTCCAAGCCTCTTCACAACTCAGCACACCCATATTTCCAGCCACGCAGGATATGTGCTTACAGCAAACCACACAGGAACGGGGACAATGGGGCTGGGAACTGCAGAAACCCAGACGAAAAAGGAATAAAACTCCACAAAACTCCACAAAAAAAGAAGAAGAAAGCATCGTTTCTCATAGCCAAAGGGTGAGAAAACGACTTCATTCTTCCCTGCTTGCAGCATCCTCATGGATTACGCTGCGGGGGAAGAGATGAAGTTGCCTCCGTGCGCAGCGGCCCCGCTCGGCTTGCAGGCTCCCATGCCAGTTGGCTGCTTCCTCCAAGCATTTAATCCCAAGTGGAGCCCTGGTTTGGGTCCAGCCCTCGAGAGCAGCTTGATTCATGTGTGCAGAGGGCCTGATGGTCACATGAAAGCTGCCTGGCAACCGTGGGCAGCAGCAGACACTTGTCCACGTCTCAGTTGTGTGATGCCAGGGCTTGGGCCCGAGGCAGCAGCATGTTTGGGGATGCATGGAGGGAGGGAGGGAGGGAGGGAGGGAGGGATGGATGGATGGATGGATGGATGGATGGATGGATGGATGGATGGATGGATGGATGGATGGATGGATGGATGAAGGGATGGAGGGAGGGATGGAGGAGGGATGGAGGGATGGATGGATGGATGATGGATAAATGGATGCAGGGGTGGATGGTTTGATGGATGGAGGGAGGGAGGGATGGATGGAGGGGTGGATGGAGGGATAGATGGATGGATGGTTGGATGGATGGAGGGATAGATGGATGGATGGAGGGTAGCTGGATGGATGCATGATGGACAGATGGGTGGATGGAGGGATGGATGGATGGATGGATGGATGGATGGATGGATGGATGGATGGATGAAGGGAGGGATGGATGAAGGGAGGGATGGATGAAGGGAGGAAGGGATGGAGAGAGGGATGGATGGATGGATGCATGATGGATGGATGATGGATGAATGGATGCAGGGGTGGATGGTTTGATGGATGGATGGAGGGAGGGAGGGAGGGATGGATGGAGGGATGGGTGCATGATGGATGGATGGATGGATGAATGGATGGATGGATGGATGGATGCATGATGGACAGATGGGTGGATGGAGGGATGGATGGATGGAGGGATGGATGGAGGGATGGAGGGATGGATGGATGGATGGACGGAGGGAGGGATGGATGGAGGGATGGATGGAGGGATGGATGGATGGATGGAGGGATGGATGGATGGATGGATGGATGGATGGAGGGATGGATGGATGGAGGGATGGATGGATGGAGGGATGGATGGAGGGATGGATGGATGGAGGGATGGATGGAGGGATGGATGGATGGAGGGATGGATGGAGGGATGGATGGATGGAGGGATGGATGGAGGGATGGATGGATGGAGGGATGGATGGAGGGATGGAGGGATGGATGGATGGATGGATGGAGGAGGTTTAAAAGTTTAGATCATTTTTTCCCATGCCAGGTTTAATAATTTCATTCTCCGAGGCCAAACTTTGGAGATCTTGCCCCTCCGCTCGGAGTCAAAAGCCATTTGTGGCAGCCAATTACTCCCGTGCCCCTCAGTCACCTCATTTATTGCATCTTCAGCAGCGGCAGGCTCACAAAAGTCACCTTGTTTCACTTCTGCTTTGCCAGAGAGGGCTCTGGAGCTGCAGCGGGTTTGCAAAGCTGCAGGACCAAAGGAGCCAGGTGAAGCCACCACCTTGTTTTCCTTCCCTAGGTAAGGAGATGACAACGGGCCAGCGTGGTCCGTGCCACCGTGGAGACCCAACCTGCGCTTGCTGATTGCTCTGTGCTTGGAGGTGGCCCTAAGGGACCTGGAAGCAGGAGTAGAGGTGGAAAGGGGGGTGTTTCCCACTGTAAATGCCTCCAGGAACAGATCCCATCTGACCACTTTCTTCTCAAATACAAGAATCATAGAATCATGGGGTCATAGAATCATAGAAGCACCGAACGGTTTGGGTTGAAGGGACCTCAAAGCTCCTCCAGCTCCAACCCCTGCCACGGGCAGGGACACCTTCCACTAGAGCAGCTTGCTCCAAGCCCCCAAGACGTGCTACAGGACACACAAGAGTCCACAGAAGTGAGGCCCTACTGCAGGTAAAGCCTTGACCTGTGTCTAGAGAGGGACTAATGCACCTGCAAGACCCCAAAGCAGAGAACATAAAGGCACAAACCTCTCCCAGTTTGCTCACCTGCAGCAGCAAGCCTCCACCAGCCCCATGCCTCAGTCTCCCTGGCAGGGACTTTCACTCCAGGCACCAAAGTGCCTCCAACAAGGATGCTACCGGAATGCCCCACAAGTGTCACCCTGCTTCGCCCCTGTTTCATCCCACGTGCAGGGGGTCTCTGAAGGAGGTGATGCTGCCCCTCTGCTCTGCTCTGGTGAGACCCCACTTGCAGCACTGGGTGCAGTTCTGGGGTCCTCAACATAAGGACATGGAGCTGTTGGAGGGAGTCCAGAGGAGGCCACGAGGATGAGCAGGGGCTGGAGCAGCTCCTGTATGGAGCCAGGCTGAGAACATTGGGGCTGTTGAGCCTGGAGAAGAGAAGCTGTGTGGAGACCTCAGAGCAGCTTCCAGTGTGTGTGAAGGGGGCTACAAGGATGCTGGAGAGGGACTCTTCATCAGGGACTGCAGTGACAGGACAAGGGGTAACGGGTTCAGCTGAAACAGGGGAAGTTCAGGTTGGAGATGAGGCAGAAGCTCTTCCCTGTGAGGGTGCTGAGGCGCTGGCACAGGGTGCCCAGAGAAGCTGTGGCTGCCCCATCCCTGGCAGTGTTCAAGGCCAGGTTGGACACAGGGGCTTGGAGCAAGCTGCTCCAGTGGAAGGGGTCCCTGCCCATGGCAGGGGCTGGAACTGGAGGAGCTTTAAGGTCCCTGCATCCCAAACCTTTCTATGTCTCTGCATCCCAGGCAGTCCCCTCACAGCTCGCCACCAAGTTGGACCCATCTGAGCCATGCTCATGGCCCCAGGAGCCTTTGTGGGGGTCCCACACCTGCCTGGCAGCCCCACTCCAGGCACAGGGGCTGTGTTTATAGAACCATGGAATGGTTTGGGTTGGAAAGGACCTCAAGATCATCCAGTTCCAACCCCCTGCCGTGGGCACGGACACCTCCCACTAAACCAGGTCACCCAAACATCTTATGCTTGATCATTATAAACTTAATAAATATAAATGAATAGACATAAATAAAGCATGAACATTTTATGCTTTATTTTATGCAAGGCAGTTTGTAGGTTTTAAAAGCAGAAATAAGGTGTAAGAAGCAGTGTCTGGAACAGAAAGTCCCAGCACTCCCGTGACAGCCCTGTGTTTACGGAGGGCTTAAAGTGCAACCGCAGCTCAGAAGGGACTGCTTAAAACGCACCCAGCCCTTGGCATGTGGCATCCCAATGGCTCTGCTCACATCCAGATCACTTCCCACACCCTCGCCTCGCTCAGTCCTGGGCTGGGAATTCCTTCTTGGCACTGTGGGAGCCTGGAAACCTGCACCTGAGCCTCATGAAGCATCCCTGAGCTCCCCAGGGTGGAGGAACCAAGTCCTGCATCCAGAGCATCCTCAGGGCCTCTGTGAGCAGCAGACAGGGTTCTGCTCCCCCTGCTCCTTCCCAAGGGGATTCTTGGGTGTCTAAAGTAGGATGTGCAGGCGTCACCTCTCCCTTACCCTGTCCACAGGTAGGGTTTGCTTTTCATCCCACTCCTTCCCCTCCTGGACCACCGACTCCCCCATCACAGCGGGTCCAAACTCATAGAACAGACCCCATGAGCTCCCTTTTTCTGCAGGAGCCACATTAGAAATGAAATGAAATGAAGCAGTAACTCCCCCAGCTCCTGGAGAACACCCCTGCCCCGTGCTCTCCAGAGATGCTGGCTTTAAATGCCTCCAGCCAAACCATCCCTGCACTCAGCTGTTGCTGCCGCGTTGCTCACCCGCAGCGCATCCAGCCCAGTAACCTGTGCCCCTGACAGCCTCTCGGCTCACAGTGTAAATCCCCTAAAATAGCCTGTTTCTGTGGGCAAATTCCTCCTTTCTGACTTGCCTTCGAGCCCGAGTGTTTCTGCTCCTCACCTATTTTTAGCCGCGACACTGGAGGTCTCTTGGCTGATGAGGCTGCTCGGAGCTAATTTGTTCTTGTCTTCATCCTCCCCGAGTGCTCAGCGCAGAGATAAATGTGAGGCAATGAAGGGTAGAGGTGGATGGAGGAGGATGAGGGTCTCATCACCAAGACCCCTCTACCTTCAGGCATGGGGCTCCTGGAGCCCCCAGCACCATGGGATGTACCCTCAGCACTGCCAAAGTGATGCAGAGAGGTGATCCCGGACTTCCCTGCCCCTGTCCCGCAGTCTCCAGCCCTTTATCACCATCATAAGGGATGCAAAAGGACCCCAACACTTCCTCCCGAAGCAGACAACCCCCCACTGCCCCCATTCATCACGGTTTATGTGCAATGTAGGGACTCTCCTTCCATCAGCAAAGCAAAGACTTCACCTAGCACCTACTTCAACCTCCTGGTGATGTCTCCATCCTCCTCCTAACCTGGGTACCACGGGTAACACAGCCCTGGCAGAGGCACGGAGTCAGCCCAAAATCCCTTGTGCGAGGAACGATGCTGCGGGCTGAGCCCAGGGAAGGGGAAGTAGCCAAACTCACCCCGATTTTGCTCTCCAAGGGCTCTGCACAGCCCCATCCATCCTCCTGCCTTTCCCCCCTGGACGCTCCACTGCCGGGACAAGCAAATCCAGCGCTCAGAGTCTGGGTCAGTGCTCCAGGAGGATGGTTATTTGCCGAGTGCCTAAAGCACTGCTGGCAGCAGGCAGGTCATCAATCACCCTAATGCAGCCACCGACAGGCTCCGCTGGGATTAGAGAGGAGAATACACGGAGGGACCCAGCGGGTGCTGCTTTGCTTTGCTCAGGTGGCTTTGTGATGTTGTAGGGGTGCCCAGTAGGTCCCAGTGCCTTACCCAAGTCCTGAACAGCCCTGGCCAAGTCCTTCAAGGCTTCTTGAACAAGGAAGCGCTGCACAAATCCCTTTCCCATCCCAAATCCCAGTTGCCAGCTGGGAGCAGAAGCAGGTGAGAACATGGGGTGAGCAAGAGATGGACATGGAGATGGACAAGGGATGGACACGAGGAAAAGCCCCCAGCTTTGGTCTGGGGGCATCCTTTCCCCAAATTGCCCATGTGCCTGTCCACCCTCAGCGGGGAGATGTGCCCTTGCTGAGCAGGAGCTGTGCAGGGGAAGAGCTGCATCTCAACACCCTGCCCTGCACCATTTCTAGCCCACGGGAAGGTCCCGGACCTTCAGCACATCCCTGCCAGCCCCTCCAGCCCCCAGCATCCTCAGCAGCACCCAGCAGTGTGCGCAGGTAGTGGAGGACACCACTGCGTGCCCACCGCTGCAGGATGGGGGACCTGGCTTGCTGGCACATCCCGGCCATGGAGGACCAGCACCTGCACCCCCGTATCCGGGGCCATGCCCGCAAAGCGTAGTCCCACCCTCATAGTGCCGGGGACCCCGGCCATGGGGAAACTGAGGCACGGAGGGACCCGTGGAGGGGAGCGGCGGAGGGGGGACGGACACTTACGAGCCCGGGCGCGGCTCTCGGAGCCGAGGAGGAGCAGCAGGCACCGGAGGAGGAAGGCGAGGGGTCCTGCCCCGGGAAGCATCGCGGCGATCGGCGCCCGGCGGCTTCGGTGCCGGTGCCCGCGGGTGCCTCTGCCCGATGTCCCGGTGCTGGTCCCGGTGCGGTACCCGGTGATGGCTCGGTCTCGGCGCCGGGAGGCTTCGCTCCTGCTGTCGATACCCGGCGGTGCCGCGGTCTCTGTCGCGGTGTCGGGTGCCTGGTGCCGGTGGTGCCGGTGCCGAGGTGCCGGGGGTGCAGAGACGCCGGTTCCCAGGGGTGCCGGGGATGCCTGTGCCGGGGGGTGCCGGTTCCAGGGGATACAGAGATGCCGGTGCCGAGGTGCCGGGTCCCGGGGGTGCCGCGATGCCGATGCCGGTGCCCGGCGGGTCTCGCCTCGCTCCGGTCAAAGGCGCCTCCTTTAGGGAGAGCCGAGGAGTTTGTTTGTTGGTATTAAAGGCGGAGATGGGGGTGGGGGCCCGAGGGGGGTGGGGGGGTGTTGGGTTTGGGTTTTTTTTTATTATTATTATTATTATTATTTTCCCACTTTTTTTGGGTGTTTTAGGAAATTCCTCGCCGCCGGGAGGCGGGGGGAGGGCGGGCGCGGAGCCGGTGCGGGAGCCGCAGCTTTAACCCCGTCCTCCCTGAGGCCCGGCCGGGGAGGGGGGACCTGCGGGGCTGGACCCGTCCCGGGGGGTGCGAGCAGGGAGGGGGCTCTAATGGGGTAAATCAGCCCCACCACCCCCCCAAACCAAGGCCCGGCTGTGCCCTTTCTGCCTCTCAAACATCACCTGGACCCGGCTCGGAGATGCTTGAATCCCCCCCCCAAGGGAGAGGTTTAAACCCCCATGCCCGTGCAGAGGCACTTACCGCATCCCTTGGTCTGGCACAGCCCTGAGCATCCCCAGCTTCAACGGGGGCAAAGCAGAAATCAGGGCTTTAGCCTCCTCCAGAAGGGCTCTGCTCCACAGCTGAGGTCCCCCAGTGCCCTGACTCCCTGCCCAGTAAAGCCCAGTTGCCTTCCCATTGCCATGGCTGGGATCCTGCCCTCCCAGGGTAGTGGGGTGCAGCGAGCTGTCCCGTACCCACAGGGGTTTCAGTGGGACAAAGCAGTTGAATCCACTCTCCCCACCAAGTGCTTTACATCCCTCCAGCTGCACAAAGCCACCTTAGATGACCAACAAAGTCCCTGCCTGCAGGACCTCCAAGCCATGATCCCAAATCCTCCTCGAGCAGAGTGAAGAGCAGCACTCACACCTTGGCCATCCTTCATCCCCACAGCATGGAGCTGATGGGCATGAAACACCATCAGCTGGAAAGTCACCCCTGACGAAGTCACCTCCGTGTTGCTCCTGCTCCTGCTGCTCCCCAGATCCTGCTGGAAGTGCTCCAGCTCTGGCTGCCAGCCCTGCTCTGCCTGTCCATGGGGCTCAGCTCTCCACTCTCCAATGCTGGGCAGCATTGGATCCTCCCTGAGTTGCTGTGCCCACTGCACAGCGCTGCTTCCCATGGCCAGGATAAGCCAGAGTCACCAGCTCATCATGGAGATGGGTTCCTGCAGCTTCCTTAGACCCCCAAAGCCAGTTTTAGGGTGGTTTTCACCCGTTCCTCCTGCTCCACCTTCACAACTCACACTTCCAGGGGTACAAAGAGCAAGACATTCTATCAGCAGAAGGCATACAGGCTTTAGCGCGGTGTTAAACACCTTCATGCCCATGTTCCCGCATCAAACAGGCTTGGATGGAGGTTCCAGACCTTGCAGGCTTCTCCTTTGCCAACGGCTTAATCTCTACACCACTGGGTCTCTCTCTTCTCCTCATCTTCAGCTTCCTCCCACCACTGGCCGTGGAGAAGCCATCATCACTGCAATCCCTTTGGCACCAGGTGACCAAGATCTCCTCCATCAGCCAAGTTATTTCTTTTCCTCCATCAAATCAAGCTTGGGATTGGGTTTTCCAGGGTTTGAGATCTTTATGCCTGATGCCAACCCACTTGGAGCAGCACCAAGCCACCAGTCCCCAAGCTCCTACTCCTGGCCACAGCAGCCACGCGCCCCATTTGGCTCAGAGAGGAAAGCATCCAAGGGGAATTTCTGCAGCAGAACCTCTTCCATCCATCCATTCTTTCTGCCTGCCTCAAGCCCTGCCCCAGGAGCCAAACGCATCCCCCTCTACCAAAGCACGTCTGCGAGTACCCATTCCTGGAGCTGGATATGATGGAAATCTCTTCGATTCCCTGAAACCTGCCTCAATAACACTTTAAATCATCAGCTCTGTTGTTTCCTCTTGAAGCTGCCGAGCACAAGAAGCTAAGATGCGTTTCTGCACTCATCTTTCAGGAGCAAGGTGCCCACCACCAAACCACAGCCAGCAAATGGAGACGAGACCTCATCCCACCTCGACGCTTCCAAGGGGGAGCTCTGTGGTCCTCAAAGAGCACATCCCTCCGTGCAGAGCAGGAGATGGAGCCGGGCTCATCACAGCGCTGCTGTTTCTGAGCTCTAAAATACCTGTGCCACTTGGTGCCTCCAATGCAGACTGGGAGCATGGCTCTGCTGCAGGACAGGGGGGCGAAGGAGACCCGCCTACAGCGAGCACAAGCGGTGCCCTCGCTGCTGCATTTCGGGGCTGACCAGAGCGGTCCTGACGTGACCACAGAGCTTCAAAACACTCCGGAGAGGGGTGTGAAGAGAAGACAGCACCAAACACACGCTCAAACACACGCATGCACACGCGCCCCGTGTGCTGGGTGCACCCCCAGAGCGTGAGCAGCAGCTCGGGGAAAGGGGATCCTGCCCCTCTGCTGTGGGAAAGGGAGACCTGAGAGCAGCTCCATGCCTAAAGGGGCTGCAGGAAACCCAGAGAGGGGCTTGGGACAAGGGCCTGTAGGGCCAGGCCAAGGGGAATGGCTTTAACCTGCCCAAGGGGAGACTGAGCTGAGCTCTTAGGCAGAAGCTCTTCCCTGTGAGGGTGCTGAGGCGCTGGCACAGGGTGCCCAGAGAAGCTGTGGCTGCCCCATCCCTGGCAGTGCTCAAGGGCAGGTTGGACACAGGGGCTTGGAGCAAGCTGCTCTATGGAAGGGGTCCCTGCCCGTGGCAGGGGTTGGAGCTGGATCAGCTCTAAGCTGCCTTCAACCCAACCCATTCCATGCTTCTGTGATCAAACACCAGGGATGCTCAGCTCCAGCCTTCCAGGGAAAGGAATGGAAAGCAGCTCCTCCAGCCTGCACCGTGGCCAGGTCACGATCCTGCCACCGGGCCCTCACGGGGAGGGATGTTTTTGGAGCTCACGTTATTTACTCAGGAGTTTGTTTGAGAATCTCAGTTTTCACCTGAAAAAAAACCCACCCAAACCAACCCAAAAGGCATCATCTTGTGCTCTCTATTGCCCGGCAAACACGAAGGGGGTTGACCCAAAGGCTCAGGAACCAGAAGGCAAATAAAAAGCACCCAAGTTTCCTTCTTTCCCCGCCAATCCCATGGTTTGCTGGAGCCTGATGCAGGGTGGCAGATGGATTGATGTTGGCAGTGTGGAACTGTCAGACGGATTCCTTCGCAGATGAAGATAAAGAGCCCTGGTTTTGCCAAGGGGTGAATGTATTCTTTATGAGAGCCACCAGAGATGTAACACAGCACCTTGCTCCTGACAAGGCTGGTCTTTAACTCCCGGGTCTGCACTTAGGCCATGGCTGGCCTTTCCCATCAGTTTCAGCCCTGATGTGGGGCCAGGAGCTACAGGCCTGACTTCAGCTGATGCTGTTAGAGCAGGGACACAAAATACCTCCATTGACTGGGCTGCGTGGCCCCGGTTTTCTCAGCACTTTCATAACCTGCCCCCAGAGCCACGCTACAAATGGGCTTTTCAGGGCAGGGAGGAGCTGGGAGAGGAGGTGCCGGCTGCTCCCGGTGGGAGCTGTTTACTCAAACCCCTTCCACAGCCTTACCGAGGCAAGAGGAGAGCCGAGAGCGCTGCTGGCAGATGGGCAGGGAGCTGGGAATGAGCGGAGCCGGGATGCGAGGGAGGCTGGGTTAGATGGGGAGAAGCTGGGACCCAGCCTGGTTTGGGATGAAGGGAGCTTAAAGCTCCTCCAGCTCCAACCCCTGCCACGGGCAGGGACCCCTTCCATAGAGCAGCTTTGGGCACAAGCATTGGGCAGGAGCCTAAGACTCCTGCTCGCAGCCCGTGCCTCTCAACATCCCTCCTCCCTGCAGGCACAGAAGCCACCGGGAGGTTCAGAGGGACATTTGGCCCATCAGGGCTCATGTCCTGGGTGGCTCTGGTCCCTGCTGCTCCCGCAGGACACCATGCAGAGATGAGAGCTGGACGGGGAAGCAGAACACCCCTCTGAGATGCAGATTCAGTCCTGTCTCCTTGCATGATGCCCCTGAGCTCCTCTCACCGCTGGCTCTACCAGCTCTGCTCAAGGTGGAAGAGGACAGATAGCAAGGATCCTTCAGGCTGAGCACTGGCCTGGTTTTATGCTGTTCCTTGTCCTGCATTAAACCAGCACTGGAGTAACTATAATTCACAGCAGCAGAACCATGGGAGAGGGGCTGCCTCCCTCCCATGACCGACGGTGTAACCTTGAGCTCCTCACTGGGCACATTGGAGCCACTTCTGCACCCAGACTCCCGTCCCACCCTGACCCAGGGCCTGGCTTCAGTTCAGCCATGGCAGGAGATGTGTCTCCAAGCTAGAAGGGAGCACTGAACGTCTCCTGGAGCTGCAGGGAGACAGCTTACCTGCAAGCATCAGCACCTCCTCGTGATGCAGCGGCTCAGGGAGCTGCCTCTGCCTGCAGTTCTAGCACAGACACCACTGTACCCAGCATCCCTGCTCCCATTCTGATGGGTGATTCAAGCCAAGGAGAGCTCCTCCTGAAGGCACTTGCGTTTGGGGGACATCCAAGCAGAGACTTCACAATGGAGCAGGCCCGGAGGTTGCTCTGCCCAATGGAGGACATAAAATTCAGCTTCACTCAGGAGTTTTATAGCATCTTCACAGCTTGAGCTATGGAGGCCATCTGCAGAGGGCATCACCCAACCTCTCCTTTGGACATCACCCAACCTCTCCTTTGGACATCACCCAACCTTTCCTGGGGGCATCACCCAACCTCTCCTTTGGACATCACCCAACCTCTCCTGAGGACATCACCCAACCTCTCCTTGGGACATCACCCAACCTCTCCTGAGGACATCACCCAACCTCTCCTGGGGACATCACCC